TAGAGGGAGTACAATCACATACATCTTCTTGGGAGTAGGGAGTGAAGTTACATTTATTGTGCAGAAGCAAAACAAGGGGCCATCTCAGCATTTGCTCAAAGAGATTATACTACAATACTTGTTAGTGATATATTAAGATATTACATTGTAGATAATTATTTTTAGTAGCCAATAGTTGAACATTTAACATACTTCAATTTAATTTAAAATACTTTAACATTTCAAGATTTGTACCCTTTCATTTTTCAAAATATCATTTTCTTGGTATAGTGATTTTACTGCTACTACTTATAATAAAATAATGAGGAGGAGGCAGGTTATGGTCAGATTTTTTTCCTATTTCCACACTTAGTCCTACTGCAGCACCTGAAATCACATTGCACATGTTAGTCATTGAGGTATTCCTGAATGCTATAAAAAAGTTTTTTCTTGAAGTTGTACAAGACTGTCGTGTTTCTGAGATATATTGGTAATTTATTGAAGATTGTATACCTGAAGAGAATGTACTCTTTTGGTATAATGTGCTTGTACACATTGGTTCATGAAGGTTACATGATTGCCTTGTGTTATAGGGGTGTAAGCTTGAGTTAAATTTGTAAAATGTGTCATTGTTTACTAGATTTTTCTTTATAAACATGATAACTTCATAAATAAAAATACAAGGCAGTGGAAGTATGTTAAGTTTTTTGAAATGAGGTCTGCAGGACTCTGTTCTTTTTGTATTTGTTATTGTTTGAATGATTCCCTTTTGTATTTTGAATGTATGTTTAGCCTCTGGTGCTTGGCCCATATTATTATCCTGTATTTGAGAATAGAGTGCACATTTGCAAAGTACACTGTTCGTGCTGCCTCAATGGTGGTGTTTCTTCTTATTATTCTAAGAGCATAATTAAGTTTGATCAATTTTGAATTAATATCTTCTAGGTATGAATTCCATTTGAGGTTGGATTGTATGGTGATTCCAAGAAATTTTGTTTTCTGTGCTTGTGTGATGCTGTTTCCTTCTAATGTTAAATTTGATGAGTATTGTTGTGTTGAGTGGACATTGTGGAAGGGTATTGTGATTGTTTTGTCTCAGTTTAGGATTACTTTGTTTTGGTGGATCCATTGTACTAGCTTGTCGATGGCTGAATTGGCTTTGTCTTGCAAAGCTTTGGTTGTTTTTTCCTTGAATAATATATTAGTGTCATCAGCAAAAAGTACGGTTTTGTTGTTTTCCATTATTGATGGCAGGTCATTTACAAATATAAGAAATAAAATCGAGCCTAGTGTGGATCCTTGCGAGACCACATATGTCACTTCCCTGGGCTCGGAGTGATGATTATTTATTTTTTTGCCATTTTGGTAAGGTAAGGTCATTTTGGTAATAATGTGTTTTCTGTCTGATAGGTATGACTTTATCCAGTTGTAAGCAATTCCTCGTATTCCATAAGATTCTAATTTTGACAATAGAATTGTGTGATCTATTGTGTCAAAGGCTTTTGACAGGTGAAGAAAGAGACCAAGAGGAATTTCTTTATGCCCTAATGCCATGAAGATTTCATTTACAAAGGTGAATAGAGCAGTTTCAGTTGAACGATTTTTCCCTGAATCCATGTTGTGAGTCAGTGATAATGTTACAGTGTATCAAGTAGTTTTTTAATCTTTCATAGTACAGTTTTTCTAATATTTTTGAAAAAACTGTCAATAGTGAAATTGGCCTATAATTCATTACATCTTGTTTGTTACCTTTTTTTGGGTATAGGTTTAATTACAGCAGTTTTAAATGTGTTTGGGAAGGAGCCATGAGTTAGTGATTGGTTTTATAAATATGTGAATGGTTTGATGATATATGGAGCAATCTTTTTTATTAAGAAGTCTGTTATATTGTCTATCCCAGCAAATTGTTTATTTTGCATTTTGTTTATAATTTGAAGTATTTCCTTTTCTGTTGTTTATGTGATGTACATGCTAGAAAGCGAGTTTTTTAAAAAAAGGTGATGGTTGTAGAGGTGTAGTGTTTGGATTTCTTTGTTTTTAGTGTGGTCTACCAGCAATTTCAGAGAAGTTTTTGTTGAATATACTGGCTGTTTTATTAGGGTTTGTTATTCTTCTGTGTTCATGAACTAGTTCAATATTTTGTGTTTTGTTATTTGCTGGTAATGTTTTTTTTTACAATATTCCACATAGCTTTTGTTTTATTTTTGGATTTATTTATATACTCATCATTTGACATGTTTGACATTTATTATAACTTTTTTGAGTATGGCTGAATATCGCTTATAGTAGTTGACTATTTGATGATTGCATGAGTGTTCTTTTGTGAGTTTATAAAGCTCTCTTTTTCTTTCACAAGAAATTTTAGTACCTTTTGTTATCCATGCTTTGCTGTTTTGTGATGCTGTAGTGAATGTGAGATGTTGAAATAGTGTTTGATTGTATTAAAGAAAGTGTCAAATTTTAGGTTGATGGCAGATATTTCATATACCCCTGACCGTGATTCATTAGTTAACAGTGAGATTGGATTGTACAGGTTTTTTTCATTATACTTCCTGGTCTCCTTTATTAGGTTTACTTGTGGTGAGGTGGAATTTATTTTAAGAACGAGTACTTGAGCATTGTGGTCACTGAGCCCCGTATCATTAGTGGTGATTGTGTATGTGTGTTTGGTTTTGTCTAAAAGGATCTGGTCTATTGCTGTTTGGGAGTTCTTTGCCTGCCTGGTTGGTGTGTCAATTACTGCATCTAGATTATAGGAGCGTACTGTACTAAGTTTATTAGTTTGATTCTTTCTCTTTCATGAGTAATATTAGCTGTAGATAGGAAGTTATGTTTATATCGCCACAGATTATAATAGAGTAATGAGTCCGCTTTGTTAATTTATACAAGATTAATTCTAAGTTTTTAAAGAATATTTGAGGATTTCCATCAGGTGCTCGATAAATGCTTAGGAGGAAGATGTTCAGCTTTGGAATTTCTACAATTGAACATTCTAGGTCTGAGTTGCATGTTATTTGTTTGAATTCATTTACTTCTTTGGAATCACAGTTGTTGGCCAGATATATACATGTGCCTCCATGCATATGATTGATATTTGTGTGTTTGGCCCTACGACAGAAGTAAACAGACAAGTAGAAACCTGCTATTTGTGTCATTTTTATTTAATCCTCTGTAAGCCAGTGTTCAGTTATACAGATTGCATTAGTGTGTTTTATGTGATATGTTAGAACAATTTCTATTTCATGTATTTTGTGTTTTAAGGATCGAATGTTCTGATGTAGAATCTTGAAGGTGCTGTGTTTTTCAGTGGTGACTGGTGTAGATGTGATTGTTTGCTACAGGTCCAGGTGCTGGATAGGTATTGGAACAGCACACAGGTTGTAGGATGTGGATCGAGAGGGTTTTGAGGGAGAGTTTTGGGAGATTGGAGGGTTGGCGGCTACGACAATGTAGGTGGGAGTGGGAGTCACAAGACTTGGTGATGAGGCTGAATTAGGATGAGTAGGAGAAGGGGCTGGTGTGGAGGGAGCAGGGTTTGTGGAGGTGTAGAGAGTGCAGGAGATGGTGCTGGCAGTGAAGGAGCCTCTAGGATGTGTGTGACTAGCTTGCATCCTTATGTGTCCTTAATTTGTTTATTGTCAAAGGCAGTTAAAAACTGTGATGTACTATGGGGAGAAGTGCATTTTATGCATGTTTTCTTAAATTCCTGAATCTTGAATTATGAATATAAGTGGAAACAAGTATTTTTGGCAAAAATTGAAAAGAGAATATTCACTCCCAAGGCAAATCAGCTATAGATTTAGGCTATTATCCGTCATTGTGCTCTTTGTAAAGGAATCAAGTTACTGTCACAAGATTTGTACTTGCCGAGATAATTGTTCATGATTTGAATGTATTGTTCCGTGTCAAATGTAATTTTCTCATGTTTTTTCTCCATTTCTGGTGGAGGTTTTGGTTTCTTTAAAGAGTGATGTTTTAGAAACAAACTTATGAACACATCTACGAACAATTCTGAAAGTAATTTGAATTCTAGCATTGTTCAAAACCCGTTCAATGCCAAAGAACGAATCTTTGTAGTACACTCTCTGTTCCAAAATACGAAGTTTTAGAACTTTCTGTCACCTCAAGGTGATCTGTCTCTTCAATTTTTTCTCTTACAGTTGTGACACTTTGTAGTTAATACAGGATAACCTGATAGTTTCTTGTGTTGAAGACGCACTAAGAAGTATTGAAGAGAAATATTGCATTTTCATACAATTTGACATAATTTCAATGATGTATATTTTAACAACTTCTCTTTTTGCCCTTTCTCTAAGACACATTTTCTCCCTGTCCCTTCCAAAATTCTGTACCAATTCATGATAAAATATAATACACATTATCATGCCAAAATAATATTTTTTAAACAATTGTTTTTAAAATGATTGTATTAAATGGTTTTAAAATAATTATTCTTTCTTGGGTTAAGAAAGTCAATACATACATTTATTATATAACTTTAGTACACCATTGTAAGATATGTATACAACAGCTTGTTGCTGCCACCATTAATAAATAAAATTTATATTATTGACTCTCAGAGATATTTACAAAATTTATTTTGACACTCATGAATTAAAGAATCTAACAAAAACTGCAGTAATGTGTACCCTCAAAATGGATAGATAAGATGAAAAATTATATTTTGTTGCTTATTGGCCATTCAAAGACAAATTCTCTTACAAAGCAAATTAATATTTGTAACTTAGAGTTTAAAATAAAACTTGGCTGTAGAAAAATAAAAATGTCTTATTCATTGTCTATCCAGTATGTGATTCATGAGTTCAAACCTTTACATTGATTATTCAATATCAGAAAAAAATATATTTGAAAGAAAAGTGCTAAGGCATTTTAATATAGGTACCCAGTGCTTAATTATTTTTGTAAAATTATGAGATTTAAAAATTAGATATCTAACTCATCCATCCTGTTATAACTTTTGTTTACTTTTTTTCATTATTGAATTTCAACTTGAAATACAGTTTCACATTTCTGATAGAGTTGAGAATTGGAATTTAATTGAATTTTACGATGATGATGATGATTTGTATTGTATGTTTGGTTGTGAAGTGAAGTGTCAGAAGTGGCTGAGAAAGGAAGTAAGAAAAGCACTTCCTCTGTTGCTACTGTAACATGGGGATTACAGGTAACAATAGCCATACTTACCCCTGATGTACTTATCACTCCTCCATGTTATGTAGAATTAATAGTTCATGACCATTCTTCCTAATAATAAGAACTGCTGAAGGAAATAATGTTCAAAATCACAGTTGAAATCCATTTAATTCTAAATCAGCAATTATAAACTATTACATTAGATACTGTAGCCATAGGAGTTCCCTTTAGCAGTGACACAAAAATTACTTACACATAGTGAATTGTAAGATAATTGAGTTTTATGCAGAATAAAGATAAAAACTCTAACCACAACTTCTGAATTGTGAGAAAATTTTAACTGTGAACCTTTCAGGTCTATATATAATATGTGTGTTAGAGCAATCTCCTTGCTATGATTATGATCTTATATAAATTCAAATGATTAAATATCACTCTCATTATACAATTTAAATTCAGTAGGAACCTTACAAAATATTCTTTCTTGATCTGCTCATCTGTCAGCTATGGAAATAAAAATTTATTGCTGTTTTGAATCCAACTTATATTTTGTTGGCATGAAAATATAAAACGTAGATTTTTGAATCAAGAGAATAAAGTAAACTTGATATATTCCTTGACAATTATAGCTAATAACTAGAAATAATAAATACATTTCAACCTAATTTTTCTCTGAGTCACATCAAAGATATTAATATCAAAAGCTTGATTCAAAATCAGTCATAATATTGATTAAAATTAGAACTAAAATTCATTTCAAATGCAGGTGTATTTTAGGCATCAGAAAAGAAAAAAAATTATATTCTTGCTTTACTTTACTTTAGCTTGTGACTTTCTGCCAAGAAAATATGAAAAACATTCTATCTTAAGATGAACATTTTTAATTACTGTTATTTTAAGTATTGTTTTCTTTGATGGCAGTAAAATATATCCATGCATAAAAGTTAAAAAAATGAGGCTTCAAAATAATGATGTCTTCTCTTGTTTTTGGAGATCACTCTAAATCAAATAAAGGAGCTAAAATCTGAAATTGCTATTTTTGTTGTTGTTTTGATGTAGTGTAGAGGTAGCTATTGAATATTCTTATAACTATGTGGTTTCTACTGAAATGAGTGATTAGTATTATTTTGCTTTTAGAATAAATAACACATCACAATTTTCTTTAGAATCTAAATTTAGATAATCTTTTAGTAACATGTCTCTTATCATGACCTTTGTTAAAATCTGTCTGAAACTGCTTTAAAATATAACTTCTAAATAATTTTATTTCTGTCATGAAAAGTTACATGTCATTTGCACTCTGAATGGAGGTAAACTTCATTTTCACCTCATTGCACTTTTTTTTCTAATGTCCAAAAATACTGAAAAGTGGAATGTTGGTTTAAGGTTTTCAGTTATCTTGCACAAGAAAGTTAAAAACAAAGAACAGCAAAAATTTGAGAGTGAAAAAAACAACAAATAGACTTATAGAGGTAGTACCATCAACAATGGACCACCCCATAACTTTTGAACCATTCACAATATCCAAATCAGTTTTCACCCAAACAAATTAAATTGTAGGGCAGTAATGTGATGTAGATACAGATTTCGTAATATTTTTTGTTTTGGAGAAATTGAATCATCTTTTATTTTTTTAAAAGGACGTAGTATATAATTTTTCACCTGCAATGATCATAAAAAGAGGAATAATATTTTAAAAATGTTTTAGAAGTGGTAAAAAAGTTAATTTCTGACGCATGGTTTGAAATTTCATACATAATACCGACCATTTCTTTTCGCAGAACTAGTAAAGATCGCTTTTGAGGGAGATGGGCTTCATGGTGCCAAGACCGTTTGGTTGAGAGGGCTGGAAGTTTGGCAGTCTTTTAGGTTCCTGTTTGAAAAGAATAAATATGGAAAGAAAGAAAATTACTTTCTTAGAGAATGAAATCCGTTGAAAGTGTTTGTTTTATAAAATTTTTGAAGTTTGGCCATGGAGTTACCTGTTTTACTTCATGTTACCTGTTTTACTTCTCATTGCCTTCTGCCCAGTTTTAAACAACAGAAAAAAAAGTTCATACAAATTCTTGTAAGATTTTGAGATGCATTTTTAAGAACTGTTTTTTGATGTTTGATGTGTCATGATCAAAGTAAATTCTTTAGCTGATTTGGCATGTTTGAATCCATGAATGTCTCTCTTAAGTGGGAAGCAGCTTATCAGTTCCACCTTACCCTTACCAAAGAATAATAGAAAGTTGTTGCTATCAGTCCAGTATGAACTAATGAAATGAAGCATGATATTAGTGAAAAATCTTCAACACTTCATTCCATTCCATAGTACTTGAAATGGTTTAAAGTGCTGGCTAGTTTCTACTGCCAATACAAATTGTGCTCTATTCTTGCAAAGTTTGAAAATTACCTTCCTTGTTATTATCTGTCTAATGTACCCAGTTTTTCAATATCATTATTTTCGATGGTCTTTTCTTTTATTATTTATTCAAACTGTTCAGCCCAAACACTTTACATGTGCATGTTAAAGTAAAACAATAAAATAAAACGTGTCATTTCATTTTCGGTGTTCACTGCTATCGGAATTTTATTTACGATATCATCGGAAGAAAAAAATATTATCATATTGTGAACTGTAAGCTTACTATTGATAATTGTCTTCCTGTCATGATTATATACTAGATTTCTTTAATTATTCCTCTGCTCCTCCCAGGTCTCACTTCCCACTTCGGCATACGGTCGCATCTCGAAGGCCGCCCCCTGCCAAAGGCGAGCGCTGCCATAAAATGCAATGGCCAGACGCTTTGCCACTGATTGCACGTGTCAAATTCCAAATCACGTGTCAGAAATTGCATTGTTTTTCTGAACATGGCTTTAAAAACATAATGAAATTGTTACAGTGAAACATTCAAATATGAATCAATTTCCCAAAAAAATACATATTTGGAATATTAAATCTATGGCATATTACTTTCCCCATGATTTATTATTATTACAGGGTGAACGCTGCATTCCGTTATCGTGAAAAGTTTTTGGGCTAGTTCACAGTTGACGGAACTTCCTATATAATTAAATTTGTGGTACACTACATGCACAGACATTTACTACATGCACAGACTTTTATGGAAAGTAACCTCTGGCACCAATTGGTCAATCGCTTGCTCTTTTCCGTGATTACATTTAGGAATTGTTGACCAAGTCATCCCTTGGTAGGGTGCCGCAGTCACTTATACAATCATCAATCCCAATTAAAAATGATGGGTGCCCTGGGTACAATACTCTATGACGCTCCCGTGCCTTGTACCTAACGCGAAGCCTACAAATTACTCTGTGAGGAAACCAAAGGCACGAATAAATATAGGAATTGTTTTCTAACAAAAGAAATAATTAAAGTGATGAAATAGCGTGAGAAATGCATTTTGAAATTGTGCAAAAGTGTAGTAGTAATACTATTATTACTACTAGTAACAACTATTGACGTACATTGCGCCCTTAAAAGTTTGGTGGCATGGACCGAACTCTTGAGTTCGTTTTGACTAGAATAGGTCTACACCTACGCATCCTCCCGAGACGAAAGAGAGAAATTTCCTAGTAAGTCCTTGGAATGGAAGCCTTTTGCTCTTTATTCTGTTTATCGGCATTTTCATGTTATTGTTCCGATCAGAAAACTTCAGCAGTGCAATTCACTATTAGTACCTCCCAATATTTTAACTGTAAAGATTACAGCTCAGTTCCTGGATAAACGCAGGGCGCTGATTTATAGAAACTTGATTTTAGATGTTGGAGAAATTTATGTCTGTACATTTCTTATTTTCTGTAGTCATAAATTTAAATAATTCTTGTACATAGTGATAATGAGATACGTTATTCGAAACATGTCTGATGCACAGATGTTTAAATGATGTACAGTCAAGTTGAATCTATGACTCCCATTCTAAGCGTTTCTGGACTGAAGTGATATTAAACTAGTGTATTTGCTGGGTGTTCTTAGTTTTCTCACGTGTTCGCCTTGTTACTGTAGAGAATGGAAGACTCACAATGTCGAGTGGAGGAGGGTTCCACGCTGCATGCAACGCAATTGCAAAGGCGTAGACTTTTTTTTACATTTTAAGTAGGTTATTTACCTGTCGACCTAAGTTCGTTTACTTAATGAGTTCATTTTCAACGACATTACCAGTAAATACCGATATTTTTAGTTGTTTTTTGTTATTTTTTTCTTGCAGATGCAGATGTCTTACTTTTTTTCATACATGCCGTTTCTTTGAACATTTTCACTTGCCGGCCAATTGTCTTTTAAAAGTAAGTTCGTCCATTTGATATGTAACTCGTTTTCAATTTCTGATCGATAGTCCTGCTGAAAAATATAACAACAAAAATCCTCCTGAGAAAAGTAGCCCAATCCAGTCGATGTTTCTCGTGACGATGGTTTTGGCATTAGTCACTATAAAAACACGGTATGATACTCCATTTGCGCATGTTCCATAGAAGATTAGCGGTATGGGCTCCGCTACATAAAACGGAAAGTTGCAAACACAACTGTTGAGTGTATTGACTGTAATTACTATTAACAATGAACTATTCTTGAACATGTATATGTTGAAGAAGCAATGTCTATGAACTATGAGAGAAATAGGAAGATTTTTACATTGGCACTTAATTAGCGTTTGTTAATTAGCCTGTCAACTTTACATGGCATCGCTTATAGTGCGTGGAAGCACGTAATAGAAGCCACACATGCATCATTAGATCTGTTTTCTTGACATATCTGAATCTTCTGTGACTTTAGCTGCTTTCTTTCAGACTGGCCTCTACTGACTGGATAAATGAGGGAATGTTCATCTTCATTACTTTGGCAGAAATGAATTGCGATACCTCTACCCTGCGACGTAGTTATCATACATCGTTGTTGCACTAGAAAAGCAACACATCTAAAAATGTCATTTTGCACAAGAACGGTTTCAATCTGACTGAATGAATGCGAATGAAATATTCAGGAATCCACGGAATGAAATATTGAAGAGACTGAAAAAAGACTTTTCTACTGTAGAATGGTATAATTATAAACACAGATTTGGGAAAAAATGGTTTTTGAGTAAAAAAAAAATATTGAGAAACAAGCTGTAATCGTGAAGAAGATTCAAAAAGTTTTGATTTTTTCAAAAACTGTGGTAATAGGACTCTTTTATCGGAATTCCTGTACAGAAGTGTCTCATATATAGGTGTTCTCGTTCTTATTCTCATATCCGAACATGACTAACACTGTAAACAAAGTAGCGTATGTCATAAAAATCCAAGCAAAGAATGACGCTTGAGAATTGTAAATATTTCAATTACTTCCAAGCCTATCATACCGACATTTTGTTACAGAAGTTGCTTGAAAGCAGAGATCTACTGTCCCCCAATAGCTCGTTTTCAGCAGAGCTCCTTGTCACGTAGATGCAGCTTTCGGTTGATATTTGCCTAGATATTTCTATAGATTAGCATACGAATGCTTTTTATGACAAAATATTAGTTATTATCGACGTTTAATTTGATAATTAAAAAATACCAACGTATCTCATTAGGCCAAAATATATTTTTTGAATAGACACTTTTTGTTGATGAGTAATTGATAATATAACACTACAATTATTTTCTTTATGTTACACTTTCTTCTGATGCTCTGTGACGGATTAGGGGCGATGGGCGAGACACGATGTTCATTTTGTAATTTTTAGTTTGTTACAGGCCTAAAATATCGAGATGAATGTACGAGAGAAAATTCAGGATACAGAGTATTATTGCCGCTCTTGGGCACAATTAAAAAAAAAAAGTTTATTTTTATTACGATACATCTTTACTTCCAGTATCATATGTATTTCGTACGATTGTTGACACGTATGTAGAACCTAAAAAAGAACGTCGTTTCATCAAACACTCTCAAAATCAGTGTGCTTCTTTACTAGGCGAACTTGTTAATAAACTTGTTTTCCGAGTTTGTGAAAAGCAAATACGCATTACTGTGCGCTGCTCAGATGACATATACTACATACGATGCGGTAAATATTCGGGCATATTTCTAGCCAACAGACCCTTGCAGTTCCATGCTATCAGCCGTCTTTTATTAATGAGCGTAATCACACTTCTCCGTGCAATATTTCGATGGCTGCTGTGATTACGAAGATGATAGTGAGAGTGAGTCATACTTGGTCCCGATAGGACGAGATATATGCGTTTATGCCCTCTCCCTTCGTCGGCAGGTAATCACAATGGTAGTTTTGCCATAACCTTCCACTAGATGATTGATAGTAGGAGTGACCGAGAAGGGAGAATGAATGATACTGGGAGATTATTGATCAGAGTTGTGGCTAGAGTGGTGCAATTGGTACACTGTAGTGGGGCCCCTGATAAGGTGAAACGCAAAGGCACACGTGAAACGACAAAGAATATAGCCAACCCTACTCCCATATTTCTTTTCCCCAATGCGCTATCCAAATTTGTGTACCAATTAGATTCAAAACTGAATTTCATGTTTAGTAATCGCCTATAGGGGCCCCATTTCGACTTTCTGCACCGGAGCTCAGAGGACCTAGCTTCGCCACTGTAAATGGTGATGGATGAGGTGGTTCAGATGTGGTGTGCGGTGGTGTGAAAAGCCAACACATCGCAATTCCATGATGAAAGTACTCACGCCCCACGCGGGCCTCGATGCTGTGGCTATCCTGACCGGGCCTCTACTCGGGCACCGCCTCGCTCTCTTGCGCGTCTGCGGCAGGGCATGAAATAAATCGCCGGCTTTTGCCCTCAAAGTACGCCCCCCCCCTCCTCTTGGAGGCGACGGACGCCGCCTTTGCTAGTGCAATCGCTGGCGATGGATCGATTGGCGGCTGCATTATGTAGTTACTTCCCCTTGTCACGCACGCACCCGCACTAATTACATTTGCTTTCCTTGTAATTTCTTCGCTTAGCGCTCCTTAACTGGCGCTTATACAAAACAAGGGTGTTCGATGAAGTCACTTATTGGATTCTGCTGTGCACTTAAACGTCTATCGAGGAAAGGGGAAATTTTTGTGAATAGTTATAACGATCAACAATTGTTAAAAATAATTGGAAGTTACTTCATTTTATTGTGTACATTTTATATAGGACGAGATATATTGTTTACCTCATCTCTTTGGATTTTAACATTGAATGCGATTAATACTTTTTACAAAATTTTATCAAAATATTTGATTCAAAAACATTTTTATTAACTTTCACTCTTGTGTGATTTAGTGTAAAAGGTATCTAGTATCCCAGAGATTAATGACTACTTATTATAAATACTTGAATATCATGAAATTTAAACGTTTGTTTTAACACATCATGCTTGTTTGTTGGTATTCGAAGGTCGCACGAAGAAGCTATTTTTCCACAAAAGAGATGCAGCAATTTTGGAGAAAAATCATGCATCTTGAATAGTACGAATCCATTAATAATTTACAATTTATAATTTCAATTAATAATTTCTCAATTTCTCAATTAATAATTTCTGCAAACTTTATTATGCTTCTAAATTTACGGAAATACGTTGAACCTTACACATCCGTTTTTTTTCATCTTCGCGTACTTTGTGAATACAGGTTCGGGTTTCTTCGGACCATGGTCATTTTTCTTTTGGAAGTGGTCAGGTAGGGGTACGGAAGTTAAGTAAAATTTAAAATCATTATCATTTCGTTCTTAAACATTATTTACAAAGAAAAATAAATTTTTAAAGACAAATCAATTAGAGAATACGCACTATTCATATTATTTTAATATTTTTGTTTTAAAAGGTCAATGGTTAGGTGATTGGAAGCCACTTCAGGTTAGTCAATTTTCGCCTACGGATGGCGCTGCAAGCGATATGCAATATTTCTACATTGTGCGAGGAAAAATCTCCGAGAACATCACCAAGTTACAGAATTTTGAAGTTGGTGACGGGACGGACACCGAGTGGTAATCCTTCATTGAACTGAGTGAACTCTTTATCACTAGTAGAGTCGCGCTAGTTCACCTTCCACGTGACTCGCACGTATGCGCGATGCTGGGATGTCTACAGAGACGAACAACCAGAAATGTACGAAGAAAACATCCTTGAAGTCGTAATGGAAAGCTCTCCATGTGTGGATTTTTGAGGAGTATCATACGGTCTTTAATGACACGCCGTTGGAGCCGTATGTGTGAGACGCAATCGCGTCAGAAGAGGTCAATTATCATCGATGCCGAATGCATGGGGACGCCACGTTTACATCTTAGGGAAAGCTGAAGAGAAGAACGCCAGGCGGCAGCCAAAGGTTACGGTGGGGGCTGAGTCAAAATGTTAGAGCATGCGCACTGGATTTTTTTTCTCTCGATACGGTTGAGGTAAACTTTCACCCTCGTTACCCACTCAGTCGTAATCCCTTTGCTTTGGGGCCGGGTGAATTGTCGCTAGCATCCCGGCAATGCGCGGTGACATTTACATGAACGGGGTTGTTTTCCCCGTAGGTGTCATTGCTGTAGCGGTGACCACTTCCACCGCAAGCGGTGAGGCACGTCCGGCATGTCCTTAGCCTCCAGACGATCGCTCCGAAGTATCGGGGAGGGAGGGAGTGGCGGGGACGGGGGAGGAAAGTCGGCGCCAGGGGAACGTCCGCCCACGGAAGGCCGGACAAA